CAAACACCGACTGGCAGTTGAGATATCTGAGTTCCCCACCCCCGGCTGTGCCGTCACCAGCTGTGTGACCTCGAGCAGCTTGCTGGACTGATCTGAGACTTGGGGGCTTCGTCTGTAGAGGGGGATCTCCTGGGAGATTCGGGAAGAAGTGAGGGTGTGGACGCGAGCCCCTTGGGGGACTGACACAGAAAGTGGGCTTGGTGGTGGATGGCTGGGAGGTGCTTTGGGGTTTGCTGGGGACCAGCATGAGGTCGTTTTCATAAACTTCACATAATTGACTGTATGGGTTTTTTTTTTTTTAATCGAGGCGGAAACATACACAAGCCATTCACCAACATAATGACTTCCCCGTTTACAGCTCAATGACACTTTCACGTTGTGCCACCATTATTGCTATTCTTTTCCAAAGCATTCCACCACCATCAGCATAAACTCAGTGCCCCACAAACAAAAGCTTCCCCTTTCCCCCAATTCGCTGTATAGTTTTTGTCTAAATCAAACCCCGTCTGACATTATAGGCTCATAGAGACGAGTGATGACCATGCCAGATGACAGAGAGATGGGCAAGGGGCCATGATGCCATCTGCACTTCTGTTTCCTACGTCCTGGGCGAGGTCATTACGGGCCCTTAGCTGACTACTTTGTTTTCTTAGAAGTGTGTGTTTACTGCCCAGCTGCTGTGGGCTGGGCACTGAGGCTGCCGTTGGGACCATGACAGGCCACGTCCCTGCCCTCATGGAGCCAGCTTCCTCGAGAGCAGACATAGACTGGAAAGCACAGGGGGGTGTGGCGTGTGGCAGCCCTCCCAGTGGGTATCCAGGCCGGGCTTCCATTTCAGTAACCAAAGAGGAGCATGGCCCGGAAACATGTCACATGAGACAGCCACCCCTGCTGTGTCATCAGAGCTGGGTGGCAGGCACTCCCTGGCATCGGTGTGACAGGAGGGCGGGTGGCCTCACTGGAGGAAGGCTTGTCAGACCTGGCAGTTACAAGGCGCAGTCTGGAGGTGCCTCCAAGACAGCGCTGGGGGTCAGGACTCTGCCCCATCCGGGCCCAGGTTTCCGGGCCAGGTCACAGGAGGGCGGGGCCCAGCTTGTGACGTGTCAGCTGCCTGTGGAACCCTGGAGTCAGGTGGATCCTTTCTGCTTTGTGGCGGTAGCGATGTTGCTGTCTCGTCCTCCAGGTATGGCCTCGAGTGAGGTGCTAGTGAGGGGAGAGAAGCCCTCAGGAGAGGTTCTCCTGAGGGACAGACTGCGGGGGCCACGGTGGCACTGTCGCTTACCACCTGTGTGGCTACACAAAGGACATGGGGATGGCATCTCTAACCTCCTCTAACATCCTGAGGGGGAGACAGCGTCACCACAAGCTGCAGCCCAAGGCTGGTTCCTACGAGGCCAGACATGCCACCATCCTCTAACCTCTGCCAGTTCTGACACCAGCTGTCCCTCCCACAGCATTCTGCTTCTCTGCTGTTGCTAACCCATTGCAGTGGACATACAACTCACAGATAGTCCTCACGACCATGGAGTTCATTAGGGGGGTAACAGGCTACAAGTCAGATTCAGGAACGCTCTCGGGATACAGATCTTCGACCAGGACAGTCTCGCCTCTGCTGTGCCCTCAGGCACGCCTCTCTCTGCCCTTTGGCCTCCGAGCCTGGCCTCCACCCTGGGCAAGTGTTACAGAGCTCTTAGCTCTGCTGAGAGGGGCGTCTAGGTGCACTCCACCCCCTCAGCTAGCCTCCTGCCCAAGGGCACTCAGCTCTCTTGCTCCATGGGCCAGCAAGCCTGCCACCTGATCTCACGCTTCTGCTGCCGCCGGCTCCCCACCGTCTCTCTGCCAAGGAGTTCCAGCTCAGGGACGCTCCACTCCACCTCTGGCTCTTCTCTCTTGATGACAGTGAACTCCCTGCTCTGGCCTCTGGGAGGGCTCATTTTAACCCCAGAGAGATGGCAAAGCTAACTGCTCCCCATGTTAGGGTCCATCCACCTTATTTGCATGGTCCCACCCCCACAAGGGGAAGAATCATTAACAACCTGAGATACGCAGACGATACAACTTTGCTTGCTGAAAGTGAGGATGACTTGAGGCACTTACTGATGAAGGTTGAAGAATACAGT